AAACGATAAAAATCACAGGAGAAGAGCTTATCCAGAACATTGCACGCCAGCCCAGAGAATCAATTGTTACATAATACAATAATGCAGCGAAAATGTAGCCAGTTGAATAGCCTTGTTGGAAAATTCCAGAAAATAATCTAATAAGTATAATATATGAAGTCATTGAATAAGAATAAAGAAACTGTTGTATTATTTGATATCTCATATATTTCTGGTTTTCGTACCCTCGAGATTTTGTTGGCAAATTTTCCATTAATAATGCTGCGCCTATTCCCCACTCGCCTCCTATCATTATTCCAAAAATATCTCGTAATGCTATAAAGGTATATAAATTTGGAGCAAATCCAGAAACACTACCAAATATACAACATAAAACGATATTGACTATAAGTGGATATTTTCTGCCGTATCTATCGGCTAATATGCCAAAGATTAACGCTCCAATAGGGCGCATAGCCAATGCTATCATAAAACTTGATAAAAAGAAAGTGGTAAACTAATTAGCTTTTTCATCCCTTTAATTTTATAGATTTGATGTTAGCAGGTACCTTGCAGCTACGTCGGAAGGTTGCACACCAATGTCAGAAGCAATACTATAGAAAATGATAAATTTTAGTTAATGAAAGCAGCTAGATAAAATAAATGCAAATAACATACTGTGGCAAAGCAAAGGAAACGATAAAGTAATCAAAAGCTTCAAATGTCCATCCAAGAAACACGGCAATGAATATTTTCCATCGATTAACAGAAGATTTATCTTTTGAAGCAAAAATATATAGGTTTACATTTAGTTTTATAACTCGAAATTGCTGAAAATATGACTTTTGCCTTTACTAAAACAAAATAATTTTCATGATAGTAAAACGTAATTATTGCGCAATGGAACTTTGATGTATATGTATGTACAGTCATACATGAGCTATATCACGATTTTTTTTTTATATGGTTTATATATTAAGTTCAGAGTTGGTCAACCAAAATTCATTTGTCAAACTGGTCCGGTCAAATGGTTTGGTCAAATGGTCTAGCCTATTAAATAAATAAATTTAGTATACAAATAAATATATATATTTAAAAATATATATGCATATGTATACAATATATTTAAATATTCTTTGACCGATTTGACCAATACTAAACCCTTTGACCAACTGACCATTGTCCGGTCCGTGACAACCCTGAATTAACTTATATCTCAACTATGATCGACTATATGCAGATTGCTAAATTTTGAAATGATTTTTTTTTAAGTCATTAATTAAAGTTATTTAGAAGTGATATTTAGTCATAGTTACTTATAAGATAAATTTAAAACACTTTCTCTAAAATTCAAAATCTTAAAAATTCATCATCGGTTACGCAGTCAGTCAAGTCGTTTCATAACCGACGATGAATTTTAATATTTTGAATTTTAGAAAAGGCATTTTGAATTTATCTTATAAGTAACTATGTCTAAAATTTACTCTGAACAACTTCAATTAATGACTTACAAAAAAAAAACATTTCAATTTTTAGCAATTTGCTTATAATGATCGTAGCCGCTAATCTCTATACAGTATCTCCAAAAATGCTCTGGAAAAAAAGGAATGATATAACTCAGGTATGACTGTAATATACAAAAAGAATAAAGTTATTTAAGTTTTAAACACGAATTTACTTGATAAATTATTTTTCAGAAATTTATATCTGCCGATAAATCTAATTAAGGTGTTTTTCAATATGTCAAGCATTTTAGTAGGAAATCTTACCTAAGTTTATTATCTATATGTACATTAATTTTAGTATTTGATTTAGATATTTTATACCATTAAAATTTTAGAAAACTAAATTACTAACATCTTTGTTATCATCGTTAAAAATCAAATTTTCAGCTGTAGAACCGGAAGAAACAATGTTTTCAGGATGCGAAGAGGCCCCAAGATTCAAAGAAATAGAGCACACATTTTCGGAAGAAATAAAGTCCTTAGTATGTGAAGAAATAGAGTTAGTATGTGAAGGATTAAAGTCCTCAATAGATGAAGGATTAAAGCATCAATAGGTGAAGGGTTAGAGTTCTCAATAGGTGAAGAAATAGAGTCCTCAGGATACGAAGGAGCAGAGTCATCGGTATGTAAAGAAATAGGATCTTCAGGATGCGAAGGAATAGAGTCTTTAATATGTGAAAGAATAGGGTCCTCAATATTTGAAGAAATAGAGTCCTCAGCAGAATCTTCAGTAGGTGGAAAAATAGAGACCTCAAGATGCAAAGGAATAGAATCTTCAGAACACGAAGGAATAACAGGCTCTTGGTGTGCACTTTGATCAATATTATCGATGAAAGATGTGATACACTCAATATTAATTTCTGCGGATAACCTTTTTTAGTTCATTTGTGATCTCATCTGTCGTTGGACGCTGATCTGGATCAGATGACCAACATTTCTCGTAAAGATCAACATACTCTAATGGTGTATCGACGATGGCTTTTTCCCTTTCCCCTTGTGAGATTTTTAAGATAGTATTTACGTAGGAAGACTCATTAAATGGAGGAACTCCGCTCGTAAGCTCCCAAAGTAATATACCTAAACTATATATGTCGGATTTCTTATCGCGTTTGGCAGTTTTTTTTTTGTTATTAATATAGCGTGGATCAATATATTGTATCAAGCCCCTTATTTCAGAGGAAGAAGTAGCAATAGAACCATTTAATTGTTTTGAAATTCCGAAATCAGCAATTAAGGCACTACCGTTATTCATCAAAATATTCTTGGAGTGCTAGATAATCATTGTAATTCGGTAAGCAATAAGACAAAATAAGCTCATTATAAAGAAATAAACCTTACTAGATCCCAATGAATGATATCTTTTTTATGTAAATATTTTAGCCCAGACGTAATTTCTAACGCGATCCGGATAAGGTTCTGTCCATGTAATTGTATAAACACCTTTTTTTTGTTTGGCTTCTAAATATGTTCGTAAGTTACCATCGGTAGCATATTGTAACAACAGCATGAAATTTCTTGTTCTCACATCTAAGATTTTCGATTATGGCTTAGAGAATGAGACTAACACCATTAACATTACTCATATATGGTCTTAAAATCACACCTCGTGAGATTCCAAAGAATTTGATAATATTAGTATGATCAATAGTGTGCAGAAGCTCAAGCTACATGATTGTTTAACGTTATCATAGTTAGGAATTTAATACAATATATCAATTAATGTTAAAAAACTAACCTCATGCTTGAATTTTTTGAACGTCTCATGATCAAAATATAAGTTATTATTTAAGGATTTTAACGCATATTTTTTTCCCTCGAAAATTATCGAATAAACGATCGCATGTCCACCTCTTCCGATGAAGTTTGGCTCCTCGCATGTCGAAAAATCAAACTGTTTTATACCACGCTCTTTTAAATACGATTCTAATTGCTCTGAATATTCGATTACTAATATAATACCGATATTAAAGTATTAATATATGCATAAAATCAAACCTAAATTCATTAAAGCGATAACTTACATGGTTTCTTTGACATAACCTCGAGTTTCTTTGACATGACTCAAATTAATAGCCTACGATGCATCGAAAAAAAAAGTCATATTATATCAAGAATCAAATAATGATAAACACATATGAATGAGCTGTAAATATACTTGATAAATCCAATATATTCGGTGAATTTTTGTTGAAACTTGTAATGATTAAATAGTTGGCCAGTTCAAAGTAGTTTAATTAAGTATCTTTTACATTTATGTGAAAAAATGCAAATGAATTATCGCATACTTCGGATAAAATTTGAACAGTAAGGATGATACCGAAAGTATTATTAGCATACGGAAAATACTTTTGATAAATTCGACGTGTCGAAAGCACAAAACTAAAGTCAAAGTCTTACCGAAAGTCGAAGGTCCTACTGAAAGTCCCACCAAATGTTGAATGTTAAAAGTTTAGAATGTACTGAAGTTCTAGAAGGTACTGTTGAAGTTCAAAAGTTTCACTGGACGTTTAATTTAAAAAATAAATTTTGAAGCAAGTTAGGTAATGTATATATATGTATATGTATTCTGCATGCTTTGTTACATTTTGATCTCATTAGTTA